TTTTTTTTTTTTTGAGACAGGGTTTTTCTGTATAATAGCTCTAGCTGTCCTGGAACTCCCTTCATAAACCAGGCTGGCCTCGAGCACACAGAGATCCTCCTGCCTCTGCCTCCCAACAGCTGGGATTAAAGGCATGCTCCATTACCACCAACCACCAAGTGTTTGCTATGCTTCTTTTATTGACAATTTTTGCCCCCTTCTTTTAGTACCATATTTATGTGTTTCTGGATTTCATAAAAAACAAAGCACAGTAGATTGTCTGTGTTTAGCTCTTTCACATATTAATGTTCCTAAGACTCAGGCTGTATCACTAGTTTGGATTCCTTTTTTTTTTTTTTAAACTTTTTTATACTGTGATTTGCTCAGCCTGTTACTGGACAACTGGACTGTTTCTAGGAGAAGGAATGAGAAGAGTAACGCAGCAGGGAGCAGGAGAAGTGGGAAATAAAAAGATTCCTAAATGTGGTTTGACTCTGACACTGTACTTCCATTATCACAGAATGGAGGTAGCCTTTCAAATAGCTAACATCACACAATATACTTGGGCAGCTTCAAAACTCCAGATTTTTTTCTGGGGGAGCAGGGATAATTTTTTTTCTTTAAATTTTGATTATGTGCATCAGTGCAAGACCTCTGGAGGCCAGAAGAGGTAGTTAGATCTCCTGGAGCTGGAGTTAACAGGCCATTAGAGGTGCACAATGTGGGTGCTGGGATCCAAACTCTGGTCCTCTGCAAAATTGTATATGCTCTTAACCCCAACCATCTCTCTAGCCTTCAAACTCTAGAATTTTTAAACATCACATCTCATGCACTATTTTTGTGAACTTAGGTCTTTTTGTTGAATCTTATTAAATTTGATCACACTGGCTTCAACCAAAGCTGTTCACATTTATTTTTACAAGCTTTATGTCAACCCGCCAACTTTTATATATCCTTTCTAATTCCTTTTTTTGTTTGGTTTTTGTTTTTCAAGACAGGGTTTCTCTGTGTAGCGCTGGCTGTCCTACAGAGATCCGCCTGCCTCTGCCTCCTGAGTACTGGATTAAAGAGATGAGCCACTACCATCCAGTCTTTCTAATTTTTTTAATGGTCAAACTTTATTGTAAATAATTCACAAATAAAAATATTACTCAGTAAGATTAGCCAGACCCAAAGCCATACAGTCTCAATGAATGGGTATAGCTAGAGCACTCTCATTCTGAAGCTATGGAGCTTTACACTGGATTTTACTTTCACTTCCAATTATATTTTTACGCACTTAACTGCCCCCCATTCCACACACATAAAGAAAAAAAAATAAGAGTTAAAACCAGAAAAACAATTAGCTTTATATTCTCTAATTCTGTATCAAGACAACATTAAAACCTGAATCACAAAGTCACACACAGACAGAACTTTCCAGCAGTCTATTAGAGTTTCTGACACCCCTCAAGGAAGAATAGCAGTTAACTCCTGGCAGAGCTGCTTAGTTATGAATCTGACAGAGTTTCTTCTCCTCAGATCAGGCTACTTGCTTTCTTGAACTTACGAGGATATGAAGATGAAAGTTGAGAAAATGCCTTGCTGTCTTTTAAAAAACATTTATTTATTTATTTATTTATTTATTTATTTATTTATTTGTGATACTTTGATACTGGGTCTCACTATGCATACCTGGCTGGCTTAGAACTCACTATGCAGACCAGGCTGGCCTCAACACCTTCAATGATCATTGAAGATCTACCTGCTTCTGCCTCCAGAGTGCTGAGATTAAAGACAAGTGCCAAACTTGTTATTCTTTAAAAAAATTTTTTTTATAAAGTACATTGTCAGCCAAGTGGTGGTGGCACATGCTTTTATGCCTCAAAAACAAAAACAAACAAAAAACCCAAACTAAAACAGTAAATTTATTGTCAAATTAAATTACTGTGCACACGTGCGCGCGCGCGCACACACACACACACACACACACACACACACACACACACACACACACACACACGCGCGCGCGCCACAGTACACATGCAGAGGTC